ACAGCAGTCTCAGGATATAGGCCTGAATGTGAGGGGTTACCAATCTTGTGTTTGTAATTTTGCATTATACAACTTTGTGTTTAAAATACTTTTGAAAGACTTTTTGGCTAACTTTGTGAAACTGCCCTTGATTCATAAAAGTCAAGTAAACATATACTTCTGTTATTTTCTAAAATTTTTTAATTTTTTTTATTGAATCACCATGAGATACTTACAAACCTTTATTGTTTGAGTTTCAGTCACACAATGATCGAACACACATCTATCCACCAGTGCACATTCTCCACCAATGTCCTCAGTATTAGCCCCACCTTTTCCAACCCTCCCCCTACTTCTATGGCAGACAATTTCCCCCATACTCTCTAATTTGGGCATTATGGTTTGCAATATAGACACTGAGAGGCTATCATGTATGGTCCTTTATATACTTTCAGCACACATCTCCCATCCCGAACGATTCTTCCAACCATCTTTGACTTCGTGACCCCCCCCCCCCATTCCAGTTGCCTTCTCCCCCAGATGATGAGATAGACTTCCAACTATGGGACAATATTCCTGGCCTTTGTCTCTACTGTCCTTGGGTTTCAGTCTCATATTATGTTATTTTATATTCCACAAATGAGTGCAGTCCTTCTATGTCTGTCCCTTTCTGACTAATTTCACTTAAAATGATACTTTCCATGACCATCCATGACACTTCTGTTTGTTTTAATTTAGAATTTAATTAAAATTTTGAAATCATTTTGAAACTTTAAAAATCGTTTCAAGCTCACAGGAAGATGCAAAGGGAGGTTCATCTCACTTGTCTTGTAGGTGCCCTTAATTTATATTTGAATGTGCAAATAAAGTAGACTATCAAAATCAGCATGTTGATGGTGGTAAAATCTAGTTTATTCAATCATCTCTTATCAGTATTTATGGGTGTATAGGTTTTGTCATTTTTTCTGATGTATGACTTCTACCTACCATAATCAAGATACTAAACTATTCCATTTATCTCAGAAGATTCTCATGTGATAGCTTCTTACTCCATTGCCTTTCTCTCTCCAAACTCCCAGCTGGCACAATCATTTCAGAAATATTATATAAAAGGAATCATAAAATATGTGTTCTTTTGAAATTACCATTTCTACTTTTGGCATTTATTTCCTTCAAGTTTACCCAAATTGTTGCAAGTATCAAAAATTTGTTTTCATTCCTCATTTTGCATGATATTTGCATGTTATGGGGAATATTACAGTTTGTTTAACTATTAGCGGACATTTAGTTTCCAGTTTGGGATTATTATGAATAAAAAATTTTTGTATATTTATATGTAAATTTCTGCTTAAAACATTTCTTTTTTTTCCCCTTTTTGGGGTCACACCTGACAGTGCTCAGAGGTTACTACAGGCTTTGCATTCAGGAATTCCACTTGGCTGTGCACAGGGAACCATATGGGATGTCAGGGACCAAACCCATTGGCCACATGTGCAAGGCAAATGCCCTACATGCTGTTCTATTGCTCTGACCCTGCTTGAAAAGATTTTATTTCTATGGGTGATATGCCTCAAAATGCAAATGAGGTCCAGGGAAATAGTTCAGGTGTAAGGATCTCATGCTTTGCATTTCTCATGGCCACTGTTTGATCCTGGGACCCACAAGATCCCTTATTACTGCCTTGCATAGCCCTGGAGGCCACTGAGCACCAGTGACTCTCGTGTTCCTCAGTTGAGAAGCTCTGTATCCTCAGGCCCTAGCATTGAGTCATCAAGACTGGTTGGCTGAGTGTAGAGGGGAGCAGCCCCAGGGTCATTAATGCACTGCCTTGGAGATCACCTCCACCAAACTTATACAAATGGATGGCTACTATAGCAATTCATAGCGTTATTGCTAAAATAAATTGCCGATTATATTTTGGAAAGGCTGAATTAACATCTATCAGCAATATGTGTTCTAGTTTTTCCTCTTCCTTAAGAATCATTGGAGTTATTATATTCTTTGTTTGATTTTAGTCATTCTGTATTTGCTAGCGTTTGTCTTTGGGGGCAATTCTTATGATTTTGCATTGTTACCTATAAAAAATCTTACCTCTCTTTTCATTTGTTCTTAAAAAAAATACATGGCTGAACGCAAATTACAAGTAGAAGGGGACTGTAGTTTACAAAGGAAAAACATTTAGGTTGAATTCTATATTGTTTAAAATAGTTTCGGTTATTTTTCAAGATTATTACTGGCCAGGTCCAGAGAGATGGTACAGCAGGAAGGACACTTGCCTTGCTTGCAACCCAGTTTCGGTCCCTGGCATGGCATATGGCCCATGTAGTCCTGTCAGAAATGATCCCTAAACACAGAGAGGAGTAAGCCTTGAGTAGAGAGGTGTGGGCCCCAAACAAAATGAAGTAAAGAGATTTATCACCGTTTATTCAAATCCCTTGCCTTTTTGCATCTGCAGTTATTCCATATCAATAAACTTATTAGCAGGTACTAGTCCCCGCCCCCCCCTCCCCATGGCAGTTTCAATATAGTTCAATATTCCCACCACCCCCCAGATCACTGTATCACTGTCATCCCGTTGTTCATCGACTTACTCGAGCAGGCACCAATAACATCTCTATTCGTCTCAGCCCTGAGATTTAGCAGCCTCTCCATACTTGTCTTTTCCAATGACTGGAGGCTCTTTCAGGGTCAGGGGAATGAGACCTGTTATAGTTACTGTTATAGTTACTGTTCGAATATGCCATGGGGAGCTTGTCAGGCTCTGCCCATGTGGGCAGGATACTCTCGGTAGCTCTCCAGGCTCTCTGAGAGACATATATATATATATATATGTCTCTCTCTATATATATATTAGGTAAAGGTAAAGGTAAAGGCCCTCCCGTTGTTCATCGATTTGCTCGAGTGGGCCCAGTAATGTCTCCATTTTTTGAGACTTTGTTTTGTGTTTGGCATTTTTTGTGTTTGGCATATTGAATACATCACGGGTAGTTTGCCAGGCTCTGCCGTGCGGGCGAGATACTCTTGGTAGCTTGCCGGGCTCTCCGAGAGGGGCGGAGGAATCGAACTCGGGTCGGCCATGTTGGCTGCGTGCAAGGCAAACGCCCTACCGCTGTGCTATCGCTCTATATATATTAAACATAAATATATATTTCCTTCTATAATTTGTTGCCTACTGTCTGAACCCCATCAAATATGGTGTGGTAATTATGGAAAATGGGTAGGAAGTGTCTTATGATGTGTCATGCGGCCTGTTCACTCATATGTGAGGCTCAGCCCAAGTGTGTGGAAAGCGGCCTGGAGTGTGGTGGGGATTGAGTAGTGGAGGTCAGCTGCCGGGGCTGGGTCCCTTAGGGCAGGGCTCCCCTCTGGGGCGCCCCAAGTAAAAACAGCCTGGCACAGTGTCTGGCGACATGGTCATAGGGGGCCTCATTTTATACTCCCGTCTGGGAGAGGCAACCGTGACTTCTGCCAGATAATCTTGGTTTTTAGAATTAGAAAAAATATACTTGAACTCAATGAATTTTAGATTGATGGTTCATATTTAAAGCAAACTTTAAAAAATTTGAAATTTTTAGATCTGGGAGATGCACACTAATTGAACATAAGAACAAGAGTTTATGTTTTTCCCCCTTTGTTCTTACAGATATTAAGTATGTGAGCTCTTAAATTCCTACTTTTTGCTGTTTCTTGAAATTCCTGGTTATTCTTTACCTCAGTAATATCTGTATTGCTTTATATTATTAAACATTTTTTATATTTACATTGCTTTATATTATTAAACATTTTTTAAACATACATATATATATACACACACACTGTTTTTCCTTTAGAGGCTATGATTTACAAAGTTTTGTTTATTTATCTACATTTCTGATTTTGGACCACCTCCCAGGTGCACAGGAATTACTCCTGGTTCTGCTCTCAGGGATCACTTCTGAAGGATCTTAGGGAATTGTATGTGCTGCTGGCAATCAAACTTGGTCTGCTGGGTCGTTGCAGGGCAAGCCCACTACCCGCTGTACTATTGTTCTGGTCCCCAACAAAGTTATTCATAGTTGAGTTTCAGGTATACAGTTTTCCCAACCCGTCATAAGTATCAAATTTTCTCCACCAAATGCCCCTTTTTCCCATCTCACCCTGCTCTCCCATCCTTGACAGGCACATTTTAAAGTTTGATTTTATAGGTTGGATCTTTTGCTTTCAGTGCTGTGGGTCCTATAGTACAGACATATAACACCTTTTCACCACCACTGTGCCTTAGGCCTCTTCAGCCTTCTCCTCTTACCTCCGATCTGCCTCTTCTTGCATGTTTCACTGATGTTTGTATCTCTTAAATTAGAGCATCACGAAGATGAGCAGATATATTTGAAAGGAAAGGATTCTATGCATGACAAATTTGCAGGTTTGCAGTTGTGTAAGTTATTCTGTCAGGAATGGGATAAAGAATACACTTTAGTGAGGAAGAACTATATCAAAAGTTTTAAAGTTTTAATTACTAAAGAACATACTATATTCAAGGGAATTCAAATGTTTGCAGGAAGGAAGAAGTTAAAAAATGAGATTAAGTAGTGGTGGGGTGGGGAGAAGGAATTTTGGGTACTGGGAAGGGACATGATGGACATAGTGACAACTATGTCACTTTGGCACTTTGGTGATGACAGAGGAGCAGTAGCTTTGTATGCCATAAGCATAACCAGTAACACTATCATAAACCATGTTATCATGATAGTAATAAAAATAAGTTAAAAAATTAATTGTGCCTGTTGAAGGTTGCCCTGAAAATTGTTAGCTGGAAGAAAATGTGCGGAATTAGTAAGTATTTTGCAATTCTTGTGCCTCTGAAAATATTAAGTGTCAATATTATATGGTTTATATTCTTTAGAAAGAGATTCCATCATAAAATTAAAAAGAAAGGGTATTGACTACTTTAAAATGCTTTTCAGTTTTATCTTACCATTTCTCAACTTAAAATTTTACAGGCGTCTACAGATTATTGGACAGTTTCAGACTCCATAAGACTTTATAATCTTAAATCAAGGATTTACTTGATACCCTTCTTGACCTTTACTTCTAATCAAGTAACAGTTCTAAAAAGGAATTGGCTCACTTGCTACAAGAGGAATTAAAAATATAAGCCATTCTTCCCAATGCCTAAAAATAGCAAGGTGGTTAAAAGAGAATTAGATGATGAGGTTATTGAATCTGTCAAAGATCTTCTTTCCAATGAAGACTCAGCAGATAATGCTTTTAAGAAGAGTGAACTCATTGTTGATGCCCAAGAAGAAAAAGACATAGATATTGAAGAAGGATCTGAAGTAGAAGATGAAAGACCAGTTTGGAGCAGTAAGCTACAATACATCCTGGCCCAGGTTGGATTTTCTGTAGGTTTAGGGAATGTATGGCGATTTCCCTACCTCTGTCAGAAGAATGGGGGTGGTAAGTAGCTTTTTTCTTGAAAGCAATCATTACTTTGTACATGATAATGGATTATCTCACATAGTGTATATTTGGTACTCTCTATTTAGAAACTATAAGCTCCATTGTAAATAGAGGGAGACTGTTGGAATTGAGTTCAAGCTTTGATTTAGGATTACGTTTTCATAAGGGAAAATTAATACTGAAGAGTATTATTTCTCTTTTCTGGGGTGGGGAATGCTATGAATATCTTTTAAGTTACTGATTTTTATGACAAATGCTGCACTCTTATGCCTTTCAATTAATTTTTTTAAAGTACCTAAATTTTCAGATTTAAAACATTCCTAGTGACGGAAGACATAAATTTCTCTCTATAATTTATTAACTGCATCTTAAGCTGTCTCAGTCTTTGTATAAGTCAAAATAACTTAAGATTGATAATTATTTTAATCTCAAATGTTGATTAAAACTATGGATTCTAGGAAAAGACAGTAATATATCTTTTCCTAGAATCCATACTTTAAAGTAAATAGAATGTCAGACATTCTTTTTTTCCATGGATATCTCATATGTTTGATTCTCTGTTCAATAATGTCTAGCGACAGAATTTACTTTTAGATAAGTATTCTGATGGCTGGAGCGAGAGCACAGCGGTAGGACATTTGCCTTGTGTGCAGCCAGCCCGGCTGAGCCAGGTTCGATTACTCTGCCCCTCTCGAGAGCCCGGCAAGCTACCGAGAGTATCTTGCCCACACAGCAGAGCCTGGCAAGCTACCCGTGATGTATTTGATATGCCAAACACAGTAACAACAAAGTCTTCAATGGAGACGTTACTGGACCCGCTCGAGCAAATCGATGAACAACGGGAGGACAGTGACAGTGACAGTGAACATTGATGTTAAACAAAAATAATCATTATGATATTTTTTAAAAAAAATTATGGATACTTAACAAAGGCTGCCATGAGTTTTTTTTAAAAAGAAAGACCTGTAAAAAAGTATGATTGATCATATAGAGATGAAGGTCTATGCTAAGCTAAGTCTAATAACATTTGGGCTCAAACTTGCAATGCACATAGAAGCATTTAAGATAAAGGTGACTAAAATAGTAAATATTCTGTAAATCACATTTTAACACACAACTTAGAAAGAATATATTGATATTTGATTTCAATTTGTTTTTTTATTGACTAGACAAAACCAAATTATTTTTAATGTAGTTGTGACATAAAAATTCAATGAAATAATTCAAAATTCATATTTTACATTTATTTTTACCACTAAGAGAAAAATTAAAGCATTATGGTGGCACCTTATGCTGAAAAGTTCTTCTTTACTTAATTCGAGCACTAACACAAGAGGTTTGGAAAATGTAGCTATTTTGGCTAGTCTGCCTGAGAGATGTAATAACATAAGCTAATTATTTAGTCATATTAGCATCACATATTAATTATTATATTATATTAATTATTATATTAAATATCAATATTATATATTAATTATTATATTAATTATTATATTAATTAATTGTATTAATTAATCATTAGCATCACATATTAATTACCAAATAGGTTTTCTACTGTCTTGCTTTTTATTCATTTGTTAGAAAGAAAACACAGGTCAAAATAGATTAACTCTATTAAATCTACCAAAACTTAATTTCTAACCTAAACGATATCAACCTCCTAGATTTTTTTCTTTCCTGTTTTTTTTTTTTTCAATTGGTCACACCTGACAGTGCTTAGGACTTACTCCTGGAGGGCTCTTGGGACTGCTGGGAACAAATCCAGGTCTGCAGTCTGCAAGGCAAACACCATATCCATTGTGCCTCCTCTCAGGCACCCTCCTACATTTTTTATCTGCCCTTGGGATCTACTTTTGACTGCTCAATGTGGGATTTTATGATCAGCACCCATTTTTCCATTCTCCAAGGGAGGATGAAATAATCTGTCAAAAGACCTTTTCCATTCCCCAATAGTGAGTTACATAATCCTGAAAAAATTTCCCCTTCCCTTTCTTGCCCTCTTTCTGTCTACAAAACTGCCTACTGCACAATCTTTCATTGTGTAGCTTTTTGGGACTCAACTTGAGATAAAGAGATTTTCCCAACCTGTGGGTAATTTAACAATATCTTTAGATCTTTACGTGCAATTGACTGGACTCTTGTTATTTAACGTCCAGGATTCGTGAAGACTTGCTGAAAACACTTTGATGTTCGGTTTGGACTTTCCACTTTAACAACCTAACTGGTTGTCCTGTTATGGAAGAAGACTGATGGGTGTAAATTTGAGATTGCTTTCCATTTAAAACAATCTCTTTCTTGGTGAAGTACACTCAGTGATTTCATATAGAGGTTCTCAAACTCACGGCCCACTGTCCCTTCCTTATTCAGGAAGAGAAATTACTTACTACCCCCCAGGAAATTTACCTTCTGTAAGGAAAAAAGAAAGAGCTTTCTCTCCCATTTGTATCCCTGATTACTACCAGGTCTGAATTGTTCTAGCCCTGGATTGTCACGCACTTTGAGAAACCACTTTAATTAGCTGTTAGAAAAAATGATACCTTTTTATTTTTACATGTGATAAAGGTGTAAATTCCATTCCTATTATTTTTCCTCTCTTGTAATCACAAAGCTAGAGAATTGTATCATCAATTATAAAATACAGAGGGACCAACGGGACTTTTTCATTTATAGTTGGCTGTTCGGTACAAAAAGCTATACTCAATATGAAATATTGCATTGAGCCTCCTATGTCATATGTTCTGGCTCATTCAAATTTATTAAATTTAGAGCAAATAAGTTAGATATGTTTAGGTTAATCTGAAGATATATCTTGTGAATAAGTACTCTATGAGTTTAAAAACAACTTGAAAAATAATTTTAAGGGATCTATTATTTTATTTGAAAATGAAATTATCCTACCCTTGGAATAATATGACATTAAAATTACTCATTACTATCGGTCTTTTACCATAATTATTTTCTACTAGAACTATATTCAAATTCAGGTTGTAGAAAGTTTAGAGTATAAAACTAGTTTCTTTAATATTATCTGTAGTTATACTTGTAGAAATAATATTTTTCATGAGATAAACAGAATTAGTGTATATTCTGAAACTATTGAAAATAAATATAATGTATTTTATTTGTTTTTATCTCCGTAGGTGCATATCTTTTGCCATATTTAATACTGCTTCTGGTAATAGGTATACCCCTTTTTTTTTTGGAACTTTCTGTTGGTCAAAGAATTCGGCGGGGAAGCATTGATGTATGGAATTACATAAGCCCTAAACTGGGTGGAATTGGATTTGCAAGTTGTGTGGTGAGTTTCCTCACAGGGTATATGGTGCAATTTTTACAGAATTTGTAATTGTATAGATTGATTTTAAATAGAAACCGTTGACTCTGTATTTGATCCAATTCTATAATCAAGTGTTAAAAAACCCACTGGAGCTTATAATAAATGATCTTGTCATTGCTTTATTTAAAACCATATGAGAAACACTAATTTTTAAGATCAATAATGTGTGTTATATAAAATAAAAATGAGGGAGGTATTTTTTAATGAACCTACTACTTTTTGTTTGAGCATTCTCATATAACCACATTTTGTTATTTTGCAGGTGTGCCTTTTCGTTACTCTCTACTACAATGTCATTATTGGCTGGAGTTTGTTTTATTTTTCTCAGTCTTTTCAGCATCCTCTACCTTGGTATCAGTGTCCTTTGGTGAAAAATGCTTCAAACGCTTGTAAGACATCTTCACTGTAGCATTTTGTATTTAAATATCATAAAGTTGAAAAATAATTAGATTTCAAGCTTTTTATTTAAATAACATGGGAAAAATCTAAAATTTAATATTATACTTAAATTCCCTTACTTTTATAACTGGAATATGCATAGAGATATTTTGGCACCATTTGATTTTTTTCTAACTGTTCTCAAGTAATTTTTTTATAGTGCCAAAAAATATTAGGGCAATATATTATAGCTATCAGTTGTTAGCTTGGCGATTTTCCATTTAGAAAAGACTTCTTCTCTTTTTTCATTCATTTTTTAATTGAATCACCTTGAGATACATAGTTACAAAGTTGTTTATGATTGGGCTTCAGTCCACAATGTTTCAACACCTGCCCCTTCCCCATTGTATCTTTCCCACCACCAGTGTTCCCAGTTACCTCCACCTACCTCCTGCCTCTATGATAGACACCTCTCTCTCTCTCTCCCCCCTCCCCCTTTTGGTCATTATGGTTTACAATACAGGTACTGAAAAGTTATCATGTGTGTCTCTTTACCTACTTTCAGCACTCAGTTCTTGTCCAGACTGATTATTTCCAACTATTATTGTCATAGTGGTCCCTTCTTTATTCTAGCTGCATTCCATCTCCCACACACTTGTGGCAGGCTTCCAACCATGGTACAGTCCTCCTGGCCCCTGTTTTTTCTTGCCCTGGATATTAGTCTCATACTATGATTTTTTTTATATCTCACAAATGAGTGCAATTATTCCAGGTCTCTCCTTCTGACTCATTTCAAAAACTCAGCATGATTCTCTCTATGTTCATCAATTTTTAAGCAAATTTCATGACTTCATATTTCCTAGTGGCTGTGTAGTATTCTATTGTATAGATGTACTGTTGTTTCTTTATCCAGTTGTCTGTTCCCAGGCAGTTGGGTTATTTCCAGATTTTGGCTATTGTGAATAGTGCTGCGTATATAGAAGTGCTGATGCCATTTCTTCTGTGTGTTTTTGGGCCCACAGAATATAGTCCCAGAAGTGTTATTGCTGGGTCAAATGGAAGCAATTTCTAGTTTTTTGAAAATGTCCATATTGTTTTCCAAAAAGACTGGACAATTTGGCATACCTACCAACAGTGAAGGAGAGTTCTTTTATCCCAGCATCCTTGCCAGTGCTCGTTGCTCTTATTCTTTTGGATGTGTGCCAGTCTCTGGGGTTTGAGATAATACCTCAGTGTTGTTTTGATTTGCTTCTCCCTGATGATTAGCAATGTAGAACATTTTTTCATGTGCCTTTTGACCATTTGTATTTCTTCTTTGATGAAGTTACTGTTCATTTCCTCTCCCCAGTTTTTGATGGGATTGGTTGTCTTTCTTGTAAAGTTCTACCAGTGCCTTATAGATCTTGGTATTTACCCCTTCTCAGATTGGTATTGGGTAAATGATTTTTCCCATTCTGTGGAGTGTCTATGTATCTTGGTCACCATTTCTTTTGAGGTGCAGTCCTGTTTATCTTTGTCTTGGCTCCTACTTGCTTGGTCAGTGGTGTTTTATCTTTGAAGATTCTCTTAGCTTCAATATCACGAGGGTTTTGCCTACATTTTCCTCCATGTGCCTTCTGAACTGAAGTCTGATGTTGGAACTTTTAATCATTTAAATCTGACGTTTGTGGCTGGCATTAGAAAGAAATATTGATTTACTTATTTATTTATTCCCTGTAGCAGCCCAGTTTTCCCATCACCACTTGCTGAAGGGGCTTTCCTAGCTCCACTTCATATTCCTTGCTCCTTTATCAAAGATTAAGTGATATTTGTGTTAGGATATTCCACTCCATTCTATTAATCTGTGTGTCTGTCTTAATTCTAATACTATGCTATTTTAATTACTACCCCACTTTCAATACAGTTTGAAGTTGGGGAAGGTGATGATTCCCATCTTCTTTTTTCCCAAGGATTGCTTTAACTATTTATGAGAGTTTATTGTTCCATATGAATTTCAGAAGTGTTTGATCTATTTCTTTAAAATGTGTCATGGGAACCCTTATACTGCATCGAATCTGTTTAATGCTTTGGGGACTATTAATATTTTGACAATGATTATCCTCCCAATCCATGAACAGGTGTTGTGTCTCCATTTCCTCTTGTCCTCTTCTGTTTCTTGAAGTAGTGTTCTGTAGTTTTTTTGCATAGGCACTTTACCTCCTCAGTTAACCTGATTCACAGATATTTGATTTTCTGAGGCACAATTGTGAATGGAATTTTAAAAAATAACTCTTTATTCTCTTTCATTACTTTCATATAGATTAAACCATGAATGATCTTTTGAGTATTTATTTGTAACCTGCCACTTCACTATACAAGTCTATTTTTAGGAGCTTTTTTTTGGGTGGAGTCTTTAGGATTTTCTAAACATCATATCAAGTCATCTGCACATAGCGAGAGCTTGACTTTTCCTTTCCTATCTGGATGCCCTTGATATCTTTTTCTTGCCTAATTGCTATGGCAAGTACTATCGAATAGAAATGGTGAATAGAAATTCTAACCTTGCCCTGTGCCTGATCTTAGAGGAAAGACTTATTGTTTTTGGTAGAACTTTCTTCATGCTTTTTGTTTTTATTAAAACCCAGAAGACAAAAATAAATTTTGATTGAAGTAATCGCTTTCATGTCTTCTGTTGCTATCATCTGTTTTATATTCTAAAATATAAACAACAACTTTTTAAAATTGTGATGTTCAGTTACTATGGACTGCAACTCATTCATGTGTAAAATTTTGTGGTGAACACATTAAAAAAGTACAGAAATCGATTAAATGTTTTATTTAATCCAACATATCTAAATATTGCATTTTCAAAATGTAATTATTATAACTATTAATGTAATGACCTAAGTTTTCTAATACAAAACTCCCCAAATCTGATTTCTGTTTTGTATTTATACAACATTCCTTTGTAGATTACTTTAATTTCTTTCTATTTTAAAATTTAAATTTTTTTTATTATTTCAATTATTTTTTTAATTGAATAACCATGAGTTATAGTTGTTTATAATTGGACTTAAGTCATACATTGTTCCAACACCCATCCCTTCATCAGTGTACATTTCCTACACCAATGTCCCCATTTTCCCTCCTGCCACCACTCCCTACCTCGTGACAGGCACTTTCTCTCACTCTGTCTCTCTCTCTTTCTCTTTCTCCCTTTTCTTTTGGACAGTCTGATTTATAATATAGATACCAAAGGGTTATCATGTGTATCCCTTTACTAAGTTCTTGTCCAGAGTGATCATTTCTAACTATTTTGTGATTTCAAAATCCACATATAGCCAGTAGCATACATGGTAACTTTGACCCAGAATGAGTCAGCAAAGGAGTCATAAGAAGTCTGATAGGTTTTCAATTCTTGAATCAAAAGCATTAGGTTCCTATTTCATAAGCACCTCATTAACCTGTGAAAAAGTTATTCTTGCCTTTTTTTCACAGTTGAGTTTTCAGTAAAAGTGATTTTAAATTCTTCTGGTGAATAAGCTTATTGATAAATAATAGTCTTGTTACTCCCATTGTCTAACATGATCCTCTTACCTCTCTTTCTTAAGTTGTAGAGCCAGAATGTGAAAAAAGTTCTGCTACCACATATTACTGGTACAGGGAAGCCCTGAATATTTCCAGTTCCATTTCTGAAAGTGGGGGCTTAAACTGGAAGATGACCATCTGCTTGCTGGCTGCCTGGTTCATGGTTTGTTTGGCTATGATCAAAGGCATTCAATCATCTGGAAAAGTTAGTATATTAGAGCCCCTCCTGATTCTGCTCATCACCATGCCTCGGTCTAATGCTTCCTCAAGCTCTGCTATAAATTGTGGGCAAGCTGCTAGTAAGCACTTTATTCTAAGTAGTTGGTGAAAAATTTGGCAGGGGTGGGGGAGGGATTTGCTTTTACAAATATGGAAATGACATATAAAGGTAAATAGTTTTATAGAAGAATCTGAAGTAGCTTATAGTCTTTATTTAATCAAGCTCTTTCTTGCAATTTTTCTATCAGTGCCTGTAAATTCTTTTTGTAAATAGCAATAGTTGTTTTAAATGCTATACTTCTGCCATTACCAATGAATTTTAATCATGGAAATTAGGGAAGGTGGTAAAATAAGCATTTAATTTTACTTATTATATATGATTTATATTTCTTAATTATATGTGTTCTTAGGGTAAGTTGCATTTAAAACAATTTAGAGCTGGAGAGATGGTATAAAGGAGCTTGCCTTGTATGCAGCTAACCTGGGTTCAGACCCTAGAACTGCAAATGATCCCCTGACCATTGCCAGGTGTGAGCTCTGAGCACAGAGACAGAAGTAAGCCATGAGTACCACTACATATGGCTGCCAAACCGAGATATATATATATATATATATATATATATATATATATATATATTTGTCATGTGAAACAATTCTTGATGATCTGAACTTCATTTACTTAATGGTACTATGGTAAACCCCAATAGGAATTTAAACTAATGCAAACACTCAAGCAACAAATGAAAAATTAAAAAATGCTGATTATAGAAGATATCAAATAAGTCTGGATATCCTAATCTTTAAATGATGTATGCAGAAAATAATTGCTATTACTAATTTCTTTCAGAAGAATTTCTCCCCATCATTGTTGTTAATTTAAATCTATCTACCTCTCTCAACTAGACCATATCAAGAATTTATTGTTGGTTCTTCTTTCTGCACATTAGAAATCCATTTCTACTACTTCCTTCCCCAAATCCCATACATAGATTTCATCAAGTATATTTTTATTTTCTGGCTTACTTTTTACCTGTCACTCTGATATAACAGCAGGAGTTAGAATAATAGTGTAGTAATAATAGTAAGTGATGAGTGTGACTATATTTCTGACAAAAATCAGAACATGAGCAATAATAAAAGTCAGTGTTGATGACATGCTCATTCTGCACTAGATGCTGTGTTAGTATTTTATATAATTCCATTTAATCCTAAAATAAATTTGAGAAGTAATTGCTGCTTTTAGGACTAATTGATAGAATAATATAATTTTGAGAACTTGTCCTTTGGTAACTTGCCCAAAGTATCATAGGTAGTAAGAACTATCATTAGAACCCAAAGACTTGCTGGGAACTGCCCTCGACTCTAGCCTCACTTCTTTAATTATAATATAATAATATTTTCATCTGTCATACACTTACTAACCAAACAGTAAACTCTTTGAGGAAAGAAGTATGACTTCACTAATTTTTGTTTCTTGCCTCAGAAATCTTTGTTTCTGCCACTTCAAAGTTAATTTAATAAGTATATGATTCTTTAAAATATGCTAAGCAAATGAAATCTGATGTTTGAATTTATCTTCTTGCTGCTTTTTTCATTTTAATTTCTTCAGAAATGAATATTTTTGAAAAACTTTAATTTCTATGAATACTGTATGATTACCAACTATGTTTTTCTTGGGGCACAGGAAAGTCTTGTTATTGGGCCATAGATGACTATGTTTAGACCTTACTCCTGACTCTGTGCTCTGGGGTCACTATGGGAGATGCCAGGTGCCTGAATTGGTCAAGGTCCTTGGCAAACAAGGCAAATACCTTAGCTCCCGTGCTATCTCTCTGCCTCCTACAAATAATATTACATCTCAAATAAGGGCCAATTGTTAAAGTTGTTTTGTTATTTTTTTTCTCATATTAGATCCCTCAAATCCAATTTGTATTTTATACTTCCATGTCATTTTGGACTAATTGAAAATCTCTTCTCTACTATGTAGGAGCTAGTCAGGTTGTAAGTAATGGAGTAGGTCTGGAAGCCAAATTTAATCATAGTTATATACTTCCTAAGATACTGTCATTGGTGGAAAAATAACCAATGGTGGCCAACCAGAGCACTCCAAACCACTGCTGGCAATTTTCTCCACCATGTTTTATTTCTTCTTAGGCTGAGGCTGCCTTTTATTATCACTTAAAAAATAATATTCATTTTATTAACATAGATCTTTAGCAAGTTTTAGAGTTGTGTAATAAAGTTTTAGCAAAATATACTACAACTTTTATAGCATATTGATTTATTATTTCAATGAGAAGGCCTCAAGGAGAGAGTGGCTTTGAGTGAGGAAGCAAAGACCTAGTAGTCCATCAAGTGTCACAGTTACTGAGTCTGAAATAGAGAGTGGGATACTTAGTGAAAAAATTTTCTAGGGATAATACAAAGCTGTGTGGTTTTGTTTTTGTTTTGTGGCCATACCCTCTGATATCCAGGGCTTACTACAGGTCACTCCCAGAAGGCTCAGGGGACCAAGATAGGGTGACAGGGATGGAACTTAGTTGAGCCACATGACAGACTAACAGCCTACCTTTGCACTATCTCTCTGGTCTCAAAGGTGTATGTCTGACTATCAAACAAAAAGGTTTCACAAACAATCACACAAGTATGACAAAATGATACCTGAGGATATTATATGAAAACAAAGCATCTTAGAAAACTGAGCTGTTAAAAGACTATGCATCAATTTAGTTTCATTTTCCTTTAGTTTCATTTGCTACAAAACTTATTTTATGGAAATCAGTTTTACCGAAACTTGAATTTTCTTCTGTATCATGTAGAAGAGAAATCTCAGCCCTGTGACCACAATCTCTAAATCACTGAATCAAATCAAAGGGAAAAATAAGTGCTGTTTTTAGTATTCTAAATGGCGACAGACATCTGAACTGTGATCGGACAACATTCTTTTCCTTAGGGTGTTCCACATATTTTTAAATATAACTCTAAAACCAGTAGAACTGGAGAAGATGTCCACATTGTTGCACTGTAACATGTTGTTTGTCCAGATTTATGTCATGATTGGATTCATTATTCATGGTCAGATTCCTGCCCTGTGTTGGTTTTGTTGTGTCCTCAAGGAGATTTTATTCCTGTAGGGGAATTGACAAACCAACCAAGCAATTTAAACAGTGCTAAGTACTGCCAACAACAAAACAGTCCTTGAAGTTTCTGGGGCATTGAGGAGAGGGAAGATGAGAGATAAGGACCGAAAGAGTCTCAGTCTTACTTTGGACATCTTCTTGGGTGGATTTGAGCAGATAAAGATGAAATTTAAATACCAAAGAGGAGTCATTTGCAGGGGAGAGGAAATAGTGCCCACAACTACCATAGGTATAGGTCTCTGTAGGTCCCGAGGGCTTGAAATGTTGCTCTCCTTGAAGAGTACCTCTAAGGGAAAGGTCAATGCAGGGGGAGTGGCACAGGCCGGTGGAAACTCCCACAGAAGGCTTTGCAGGTGAGAAAATAGAATTCACATTTTATCCTAATTGTAAATGAGAATAGGACTACACTTTGGATGTCTCACTTTTTTCTCCCCTTCTTTTACAGGTCATGTATTTTAGTTCTGTGTTCCCATACATTGTACTTCTGTGCTTCCTAATCAGAGCATTACTTTTAAATGGTTCACTTGATGGTATTCGTCATATGTTTACCCCTAAGGTATGTTTTGAATTTTTCAAAGACCTGTGATCATGAAAGTATTATGTATTTTCCAGTAATGTGCCAACACTTATATTTATGGATTAATTGCTCTGACATATGTACAGTGGACTCTTTAGAGATTTAACATGAGCCATCCTGGAGAGAGCAAGCTTTTTTATGTACACCTATAAGTTTTATCTGTCTTCAGTTTTAAATGATCCATATTAATTCCAAATGACCATTGTCTACTATATTTTAATAAATAGAAGAAACCAAATTTCATTTGTAACACATTTGGTGGCTTTGGCAAAAAAGATGCTGTGGTTGTTGAAGTCAATAATTACAAGTACAAAGGAAGTACTGAAAAACATTATTTTTAAAGGCCCGTATTAAATTTAAAAAATATTTATTATAAATTGAATCCAGTTTTTACACTGGAAACTAAAAACTTTTTATTCTTTCGTCTCTGTTGTTTCTTAACAGCTTTTATCACCATCCTTTTGAAAAACTGATAATAGAATTTTCTTTTTTAGAAAAAATTAGTAGCATATTAATTTGCTCCAGCTGGAGCAATAGCACAGTGGTAAGGCGTTTGCCTTGCACGCAGCCAACATGGCCGACCCGAGTTCGATTCCTCCGCTCCTCTCGGAGAGCCCAGCAAGCTACCAAGAGTATCTTGCCCGCACGGCAGAGCCCGGCAAGCTCCCCGTGACGTATTCGATATGCCAGACACAGTAACAACAAAGTCTCCAATGGAGACGTTACTGGGCCCGCTAGAGCAAATCGATGAACAACGGGAGGGCCTTTACCTTTACCTTTTATCTATTAATTTGCATTATGTCCCAGGAGAGTGACAGATCACCTAAAATATATAGATCCCAAATAAAAACTCTACTGTGCCTTAAATCCTACCTTAGAGAAAGAAAAATGCTTTGTCATCTCATATTTTATTTTGAGATTTATTGGCCATTGAAGATATCATCTATAGTTGTGAATTTTGGAAGTTCTGTAACATTTATAAGCATATATACATTTCAGGGATATTCTTGCTAGGTTTCATAAGATAGGATTTGTTATGTTATTCCACATAGAGATGAAGTTAATAGAGGGCATCCTAAACCTGATTAGTCAATGTCGGTAGAATTTTTGTGATTAGCAGGAAACAAAACTAAGTTTTGAGAGAGTGTGGCAGGAGGGAAGTCTGCTATAGAGGCAGGTGGGCGAGAGGGAAACTGGGGACATTGGTGGTGGGAAGTGTACACTGGTGAAGGGACAGGTATTAGAACATTATATAATTGAAACCCAGTCATGAATAACTTGTAACTGTGTGTCTCATTGTGATTCACTTAAAAAAACTTAAAAAAGTTTGAATATGCAATAATCAAAAATTATAAAATAAAACAAAAATAAGTTTTGAAGTATGTATATTTTTTGATTTTTTCACTAGAATCAGAATGCACCTATCTCTTTGCTAACAGTATTCTAGGCAGACACTGAGCTATAAAGACATAATCAAAATTAGTTCTGAAACGGGTGTTATCTGAAATATAAATATCCAACAAATATAGAGATTTGGGAAGAATTAGATTATTGCTTGGTTCTCTGGAATTCTTTGTCACTTTTGTAATTTGGCACTCCTATCTTGATACTTGGGCTTGAGTGACAGCAGGGCGGGTAGGGCGTTTGCCTTGCACACAGCCAACATGGCCGACCCAAGTTCGCTTCCTCTGCCCCTCTTGGAGAGTCCAGCAAGCTATGGAGAGTATACCGCCCACACGGCAAAGCCTGGCAAGCTACCCATGGCATATTCGATATGCCAAACACAGTAACAACAAAGCCTCACGATGGAGACGTTACTGGGCCCGCTCGAGAAAATCGATGAATGGGAGGACAGTGACAGTGACAGATCTTGATACTTGTTGATGAAGCTGTATTCATTGGGTGTCTAGTTCCTATTGATGTCCAATCTTTAGAGGCAAAAGTGCTGACATTGTTTTCTGCCTTTTTTGGCTATTTAAAAAAAATCTTGTTTGGGGCTGGAGTGGTAGTACAGCTGGTAGGGCATTTGCCTTACACCAAAGGGTTTAAGCCCCGGCATTCCATATAGTGCCTCAAGCTCTGCCAGGAGTAATTCCTGACTGCAGGAATCACTGGGGTGACCACAAAAGAAAAAGTAAATAAATAAAAAATAAAACATCTTGTTTAACCTCTAAAACTGTAGGAGCTACTTGCAAATAACTTGCTAACATATACAAATTTTAGCCATAATATAATACAAATCACCTTCAAATGGGCCATACCTAATGGTCAAACATCATGACCATCTTGTTATTCGTTGATTGCCTCGAGCAGGCCCCAGTAACGTCTCGTTCATCATAGCCATGAGGATATTCAAGCCTCTTTCAGAGTTAGCAGAATGAGACCCATCATTGTTACTGGTATTTGGCATATTGGGTAGGCCACGGGGAGTTTGCCAGACTCTGCCCTGTGGGCAGGTTACATTCGGTAGCCTGCCAGTTTGTCCAAAGTAGGAATGAGATAATAACAATCTTTCAAACATCTGTCTTTCAAATATTTATTTTTTTCAAAATTTAGAGAATAACTAGCTTCCATGTGAATCTTGAGATTATTTTTTTAAGTTGGCATCTACTTATGACATTCTAGAATATTTTATATAAATATGAATTTTACAATTTAATTTTTTTCATGGATATATCCCTATGTGATTCTGTATTTAAAATTACAATAACTGTATTTATGATATTGCATTTAAAATAGAAATATTGGTGATATTTTAGGTCAGTGGATGCCATTTTACTGGCGCCCGCTTGAGTAATTTGATGACCAATGGGTTAGTAGTGAGAGTGAAAGTGATTTTTAGGTCAGAACTAGAAATTATATTAAAATTTAATTTATTCAAAAAGTCAAAAATTTAGTTTTTATCATTTTATTCCTTAATTCTTGATAATTGTCCTTGATAATTTCCTTGATAAAATTCACTGTTACAATGTGACAGTATATTAGCAATAACAATCTGTCAAATGCTTAAGATCTCTCTATTTTTTTATTAAGGGTGTTTTGTCTAATCTCCCTACCCATTGCCTAAACCCTAAATTTATTAGTTCCTGCATTGGAGGTAGGCAGAATGTTTTTAGTTAAATGGGTGCCGCCTGCCATCTAGTGGATTGAATAGAGATAGACAGTTTGTAAGTAGTCTCACAGATCAGAGTTAACTATTGCATGTAAAATAGTCAGCAAACAATAACTGCATCTTACTTGTACGTAAATTATAATCCTTAATTTTCATCAAAATATTGCATAAATGTAAACTATGGTAACTAAAGATAATGTAAAAATAACTCATATTTGAGAGAACATGGGTTAAACATATTTTATGTCCAGTCTAGAACTGCTGTATAAGTTAGGTAGAATTTTCTAAGTTTTGTATTCTTAACCATAATCTTATGTATTGTTTTGAATAGAATGAATGAATTAAAATGTTTACTTCAGTGCCTGGCACTGTAGTCAATCAGTATGTATTAGTAAATTTTTGATAGGCAATGCAGAAACTTTTTTTTTTATACTCCCATCTTTCACTGTGTATTTAAACTCAAAACAAGCCATTTTTCCTATTTTGCACTTTTTAAATATTATTAGATAACAGAACCAAGATCTGATTTCGTATGTGAACTCATTCTTTATATGTGCGACTGTTCTCCATAAAGGTCACTGCATTGCTTATAATGGTAAAAATATATTAAAAAATCTATTTAGACACTACTATTACAGAAATAAAACAACTGTTTCCTAAGGAAGATGTTTGATATGACTAGTATTTTTTTATTGAATGTCTTTTACTGCATACAGTACTAAGTGACATTAAGAAATAAAGCAGAGGCTGGAGCGGTAGCACAGCAGGTAGAATGTTTGCCTTGTACACGGTCAACCCAGGTTCGATTCCCAGCATCCCATATGGTCCCCTGAGCACCACCAGGAGCAATTCCTGAGTGCAGAGCCAGAAGTAACCCCTGAGAATCCCTGGGTCTGACGCCCCCCCCTCAAAAAAAGAAATAAGCAGAGTTACTTGAAATATGCAATCTTACAGATTTAGAAATTTAGAACTTTATATATGAATAGAAGAGATGAGAGAGCTCAATTTCTTTAATTTACAAAAAATATTTTCATAAAAGTATTGAATAAATAGGGACTATAAATACAAAGAATTCAACAGCCAGGTTTATAATTATTATCTACATTATCTGCATTGACTATTAGATTGCCACCAGAAAGTACAAAATTCAGAATCTTATTCAACTTTTTTGGCAGTTCATTTATCTCACTGTAGCACTGTCCTCCTGTTGTTCATCGATTTGCTTGAGCGGGCCCAGTAACATGTCCATTTTGAGACTTGTTGTTACTGTGTTCAGCATATTGAATATGTCACGGGTAGCTTGCCAGGCTTTGCCATGCAGGCAAGATACTCTTGGTAGCTTGCCAGGCTCCCTGAGAGTGGTGGAGGAATTGAACCCGGCTTAGCCGGGCCGGCTGCATCAAGGCAAACACCCTACTGCTGTGCTATCACTCAAGCCCATTTATCTCACATTGAAGAGAAATACATAGAGGAAAATAAATAGAATATTTTCTCTTTTGATATTTCTTTCATAATTTGTCTTAAAAATATTAAAAAGTCCTATATAATGAAGAGCTGACCGTGTAAGTAAAATCTTCATCTAAGTCTTGATAATCTTGCTCATATTCCCTGTTCTTGAATGAAAAATGTTGCTTTTTCTACTTAGTAACACATTACTCCCCAGATTTGGATAACCTTTGGATAATTAAATATCATTATCATATATACTGTTTAGTTGAACTAGTATCATCTACATTATTTTTGGGTATCATGTTTGTAACTGACTCTACTATGTTTATTTTTAACAGATTGAAATAATGCTGGAACCCAAGGTGTGGAGAGAGGCTGCGACTCAGGTGTTCTATGCCTTAGGTCTGGGATTTGGTGGCGTCATTGCCTTTTCAAGCTACAACAAGAGAGACAACAACTGCCACTTTGATGCTGTCCTTGTGTCCCTCATCAATTTTTTCACTTCTGTTCTGGCAGCGTTGGTGGTATTTGCAGTTCTGGGCTTCAAAGCAAATGTCGTAAATGAGAAATGCATTGCAGTGTATGGACAATTTCTTTTTAGCTCTTGATGACACAATTATGAACAAAATATACCCAATAGAACCATAAATGTTGAGTCATATGTTGTTCTGTTTTGCAGAAACTCGGAAATGATCATGGGATATTTGAAAATGGGCAATATTAGTCAGGATATTATCCCCCATCATATCAACCTTTCAGCTATCACTGCAGAAGATTATCATTTAGTTTATGACATTATTCAGAAAGTGAAAGAAGATGAGTTTCCTGCTCTTCATCTCAATTCCTGTCATATTGAAGAGGAGCTAAATAAAGTTAGTAGGATATGGTTAAGCCATAAGATAAGGTCGTTAAGTTAAAATATGTATTATCCAGAAAGTGGTCTTTCAGATGTCTATGGCATATTATGCTGTTTAAACATTATTTCAGAGACTATACTACCTTAAATAGGGTTTGCTTCACTTTAAAAAGCAACTTCATTGATGAGTCTATAACCATTTAAATATAAATAGAACACAAGTGGGAGAAATAGTACAGCAGGTAGGGTGTGTGCCCTGAGTGCTGTTAATCCAGGTTCAGTCACTAGCATCCCATATAGTCCTCTGAGCTCTGCCAGGAGTGATCTCTGAGGGCAGAGCGAGTAAGCCTTGAGCACAGTGGGGTGTTGTTCAAAACCTGCCTCAAAATTTGTTTTTGTCAGGCTGGAGTGGTAGCACAGTAGGTAGGGCATTTGCCTTGCATGTGGCAAACCCGGGTTCGATTCCCAGCATCCCATATGTTCCCTCGAGGACCACCAGGAGTAATTCCTGAGTGCAGAGTCAAGAATAACCCCTGACCATGGCTGGGTGTGACCCACCCCCCTAAAAATGGGTAGGGGGAGGCAAAAATTGTTTTTGTTAAAGTATACACATAGTTAAGCTATTTTGTTTTTGGTTTTGTTTGAGAGCCATACCCAGAGGTGCTCAGGGATTATTAAGGCTCTGTACTCAGAGATCACTTATGGCGGGCTGGAACAACCATATGGAATGTCAGGGATTGACCCTGGGTTGGCTGTGTGCAAGGCAAGTATCTACCCTCTGAACTATCACTCTGGCTCTGATTAAGCTCTTTTCATCATAGAAAGTGAAGATTATTCTGCTAATTTTCTTGGTATTTGCAATAAAAAATTTGAAATTTATGGCTGTCATTTTTATAATATATGTGTTTTTAAGCACTTAAGCATATATAAGTTTTAAATTTTAAGCACGACAGAGCCTGGCAAGCTCCCCGTGGCATATTCAGTGTGCCAATTCAGTAACAGTAACGGGTCTCATTCCCTTGACATTGAAAGAGCCTCTAGTGCGGCAGCGTTGAGAAGGATGAGTAAGGAGAGGCTGCTGAAATCTCAGGACTGGGATAAATGGGGATGTTACTGGTGTCCGCTTGAGCAAATTGATGAACAACGGGACGGCAGTGATACAGTGATGAGTTTTTAAATATTGTGATAGTATTTGGACATTTTATTAATTAGGTTCACAGCTCAAGATAAAATTTTCTTAGCTATGGCCTATATATTTTGATAAACACAATAGGTGAGCATTAATAAATATCCAAGTTTGCTTGCCAACCTCATTCCTTTCTGTCAAGAAAGGAAAATATAATTGGTATGATTGACATTTAAGCACTTAAGATATCTAAGTGGGCTGGAACAATAGTTCAGTGGGTAGGGCATTTGCCTTACACAAGTCCTACCTGATTCAATCCCCAACATCCCATATAGTCCCCTGAGCACTGCCAGGAGTAATTCCTGAGCACAGAGCCAGGAGTAATCCCTGAGAATCACTGCGTGTGACCCCCCAAAAAAGCAAAATTTAAATAAAATTTGAAAAAAAAGATATCTAAGTAGAAACTAAAAATAGAAACTTATGTGAAGCCACCCATAATTTTTTAAAAAATACAAAAAAACCCTCTGATATCTGTAAGAATAAAATTAATAACTTACCTTTAAACACAGAAAACATTCTGGTCTATCTGTTATCTTCATGAGATGATAGTCAATTTGAAGTTTTTTAAAAGGTGAAATGTTAACATACTTAATTCCAGTAGCTCTTGGTCATTATTCAGAGATTCCCCTTTGCTCTGTAACTGATACATGCAGTTGTCACTCAATATTGCTCTGTATTAATCCTTATGTCTTGTGTATTCTGCAGGCTGTTCAGGGTACTGGCTTAGCTTTTATTGCCTTTACAGAAGCTATGACACATTTTCCTGGATCTCCCTTCTGGTCAGTGATGTTCTTCCTCATGCTAATAAATCTCGGGCTTGGCAGCATGTTCGGTACAGTTGAAGGCATCATTACTCCTTTTGTGGACACCTTCAAAGTGAGGAAGGAAATTTTTACTGGTCAGTTTTTACATATTTCATTTTATTTTGTTAGGGGAAAACCATTTTATGTTTGGTGAGAAATTAAATATGAAACAGGATTGTGTTATATTTGGGGTTTCATTAATGACTATTAATGTGTATTGCCATTATTTTTAGCTATGTATGTACTTAGTAAATGAAATGACATATTTATATAAATTTTATTATGCAAAGGCTGGAGCGATAGCAGGGCTGGAGCGATAGCACAGCAGTAGGGCGTTTGCCTTGCACTCAGCCAACATGGCCGACCCGAGTTCGATTCCTCCGCCCCTCTCGAAGAGCCCGGCAAGCTACTGAGAGTTTCTCGCCCATGTGGCAGAGCCTGGCAAGCTACCCGTGATGTATTCGATATGCCAAACACAGTAACAACAAAGTCTCCAATGGAGACATTACTGGGCCCGCTCGAGTAAATCTATGAACAAGGGGAGGACAGGATCATAACACGATCATATTATGCATTACTATATTTTAAGTGGTGTTATCATGAATTACTCAACTGTAAAGACTAAAGATGTTCATTTTGGTTTTGCATACATGATTATAAAGTAGGAGAAAGTAATTCACTTACATGCTTTATTCAAGTTATGCAGAGCTAAAGTTGACAAACTTGAATTCAGTTCTTATATAAATTAGTAACCGTGGCCTTTCACTGTTTAATCCCTCTTTTATCAGAAAGAAATTAATTCATCAATATTGATGGTTGTTAATAAATTCTATATGCAAGAAATTATTAAAGTGCTCATCTGTGCTGAATTATGCTTGCATTTGAGTGACTCTTTGCACTTGCTTTTAGTATCTCTCATAACTAAAACAAATTGTTTCAGTAATGAGAGATACTGAGATGTAAGAGAAAATTCTTATATTTCAAAAAATCATTGTACTATAATTAAAATAGATATACATAAGAGTTTTGTCATATATTGTACTGTGAAATAGCATAAATATCACGTCAAACGTTTAGAAGGGCAAATAATGCGAACATATGATAAAACTGTCAAAGAAGGAAATGGGGGTTGACAGGAAAGATGAATGAGGAGTCAGAGGACAGTTTAGGTTTGGGCCAGAGTGATAAACACAGCTGGTAGGGCACTTATTTTGCAAAGGGCCAAGCTGGGTTTTAGATGCTTGACTCTAATTGCATATGTTTTCATTTCTTTTGTCTAGTTGTCTATTGTCTCCTGGCATTTTCTATTGGCCTGATATTTGTGCAGCGCTCTGGAAACTACTTTGTTACTATGTTTGATGATTATTCTGCTACACTGCCTCTGCTCCTTGTTGTTATTCTGGAGAACATTACTATATCCTTTGTTTATGGCATAGATAAGTAAGTATATTGTTTTTATAAATTCATTTCTCATCTATTTTGGAAATACCAGTCGTTAATGTTGATATAATTGAATGCCAGATGACTAGAGAGAACTATTTGTTGCTACAAAATCACTCTTTTTTTCTGAGTTTTCTTTAGTTGACCATTTTAAGGCAATATTAGCTGATCAGATTGAGTAATATGGATAATAATATAGTTTTGAATTCTGGAATTTCTCTTTCACTTTTTAACAACATTTGTAGTGGCTTTCTAAGACCTAGTGAGTATTGGATTTATTCTGAATACCTCATTGTATTGAGTTATTGTTATTTTCTAAATAAGAACAGAGGATATAAATTCTCTAATGCTAAGTAGAATGATACAAAATTACTTTATCATCATACAACAAGACAGAGAGACCCAGGATTTATAAGTCATTTCTGTTGAACTCTAAAGTCTATACTCCTAATTGCTTTGCTAACCTGCTTTTTGAAAGAGATCTGGATCTCATAATGCTTGGTATAACAGCCAAACAATATACATGGCATTTGCTAAACAAAACTTTTTTTATATGGAGTCATTACTTTAACCTCAATAAATGTCTAAACTTCAGAATTATATACTTATTTGATGTAGAAAGATAGAGATAGATACATTTATGCATGATGTGAAATAGTGCATCTCTAATCACTTGATCTCAGAAGAAGAAAAATCTCTGGGTATCTTGTACAATATTTATTTATTCTTTTAATGTAGACACTGTAGGTTACAATACTGTTAATGATAGGGCTTCCTGCAATTAGTTCAGCCCCTCAACTTCTAGTAGAGTGGCCAGTGTCTCATCCACAGTTCTAATTCTCCCCATCCCTCCTCTGTGGGAAGCTTTATCCCGAAGACCACTTCTGTTTCTGTTGCCTTTGGGAATTTATTGTTCCCCTACTGTATTTCTTTGCCTGGCAGATCTGGGCAAGCTACCAGTGATGTACTCGATATGCCAAGAAAAGTAACAGTAACGTGTCCCTTTCCCCTGACCCTGAAAGAGCCTCCAGTATGTTAGGAAAGAGAAGAGGCTTCCAAAATTTCAGGGCTGGGACGAATAGAGACATTATTGGCATCCACTCAAGTAAATTGATGAACAATGGGATGACAGTGACAGTGACTGTATTTCTTTATATACCTCACACAAGAGATTTTTCCTTGTTTCGAACATAAAGGAATTTAGGAAATGAAAGCTTTCAGCTTAGAGATCTCTGTAAAGTAGGAATGACTACATTGAATACAAACAGTCCTCTTAAACTACATAAAAACTTCATTTTTTTTGGAGACCAAGGAAGTGTCAGGTTTTATTTTTTTTCTTTTAAAAAATTAACTTTTAATTTTTCCCTGAATTTTATTTTACAAAAGCACCATGATTTACAAAGTTATTTAGAATTGGGTTTTTGACACACAGTGTTCCATATACTCATCCTGCCATCAGTGTCAACTTCCCTCCATCGGTGTTCTCAGGTTCCCTCTCCTGCACCCGCACCCAAGCCTTCCACCTTTACATGTTTTAAGTTTTGTTATTAAAATTTAGATTTAGTTATTTCAGTGTAGTTGATTCTGTGGTTTTGATATTTATAATTACAATAGCACTGTAGCACTGTCCTCCCATTGTTCATCGATTTGTTCGAGCAGGCACCAGTAACATCTCACAACAAATTGTGAGACTTGTTACTGTTTTTGGCATATGGAGTACATCATGGGTAGGTTGCCAGGCTCTGCCGTGTGGGTGAGATACTCTTGGTTGCTCGCCGGGCTCTCCAAAGAAGGCAGAGGAATCGAACTCGGGTCGGCTATGTGCAAGGCAAAGGCCTTACCTGCTGTGCTATCACTCCAGCACATAATTACAATATTCATTGGTATTGTTCAACTGAACAATTGCCATCAAACGTTCTAGGAAAAGAAGAATAGAAATACATATATTTAATAATCATGTGTTATTAACACTATATAAGACACTAGTAACAGTGATTGGCCTGAGTTAGATCTTAATATCCATAAATTTTTTTTATAATGAACATCACTTAAGTATGCCTAGTTGTATGGAAGAACATCATAAAATATTTTCCTACAGTTTATTAAGTTTTCCACAATCCTTAATTTGTGTTAGAATTTTACTGATCAGAGCATCAATAGATGTATAATTTATATTTTCATTTAGTTCATTTATAGTAGGTATATTAGAGAATATCTATTTTTAGCCTATATTCCTAACTAATCATAACCTGGAAAGAATACTATTACTACTACTTTACAACTTATAATTACTTCTAAATATGACTAATAACTCCCTACTGTATGTGAGATAGTGTGCTTCAAATATATTGCCTATGAATCTACTATAATTCTTAATAGGTCTTATAATCTTGTTTGAAAATGTTAAAAGGAAAACTCATACAAAAATAAATATTAAAAGATAACATATATGATTTGAAACTAGTCTGCACTTGTAGCACCTTCCTCTTTAAAAAACATATTGTAACTTAGGAGCAAATAAAGAGTTCTCACATTCAAGATAGCCTCATTTAAATGTTTTCTACTCTCTTAAATATTTGTAGTGATGTTCCTATTTGATTCTTACTGTTTACATGAAACAATTTCCTGAGCTCAGTTCTTTTTTTTGTTATACTTATTTATTGAATTACTGTGGGAAAAGTTACAAAGCTTCCAGGTTTAAGTCTCAGTCATACAATGATCAAACACCTTTCCCTTCGCCAGTACTTATTTTTCCCACCAAGAACCCTAATATACACCCCCTCCCACCGCTCTCAGTGCCTGTGAGGCAGGTGATTTCTACTTACCTCTCTCTCTACTTTGATTACATTCATTATTTTGACAAAAGATGCCCCAATATTGTTGAGAGTTTCTGCCCAACAATCAGAACTGCTGAAAAGGCATTGTGAAATAATTTGTTTTCTAAAGCTGGTTCTGAGAACCAAATGATGTCTTGGATTTTGGATTTCTGATAATTTACTAATTAAGTCCGGAGGGATTTCTTCCAAGAGCCAGACAATTACAATATTTGTTTCTGTGCCTCTGGAGCCTTGCTGGAGAGCCGCTTGTGGAGGGCAACTCATGACCTCAGTAGGGTGTGAAGGATCAGCCAGTACCTCCCTCCTTCCCATGAGGCTGCAGTTGCCCCGTCACTGCTGGCTCATACCTGGCTTTCCAATAAGCTCTGAGGCGACAGCCACCTTGCTTGCTGCCGGGGGCAGGGAGGGGAAAAGGCAGAAGGGAGAGACACCCTTTCCCTCCCAGGGAGGCATGACGCCATAGTTTAATGCATAGTCCATTCACTTTTCTGCTGCAAGCTGCTGGCCTCTGGATTGAGTCCTCTTGCTCTGGAGCCATGGCTGGGCCGAAGACCTGAGCTCAGTTCTACTCTAGTTCTCTGCTGTTTTGTGCACATTCCCAGAAACAAGCTTGGGTGAAGTAAATAAATTAATACTAAACAAAAAAATGTAAATACGAAAAAAATATTATTTGGAGCATAGAATTTTAGGGACTAGCAAGAGATGTGAATAAAAGAGAATTAGAGGGGCCTGAATGTGTTGTGAGCATGAAGCTGAATAGGATTGCAGAGTTTTGTATCTCTCCACATCCTTTAAAAAAATAAGAGATAAGTATATTTTGCCCCCCTGCCCCCCCCCCCCCACACACACACACTCACTAGTTCTTATTCTGATGATCTGTAGCATTTTCAGTTGTTTAAGTAGTGTTTTTAACCTGAGGCTATATGGTCTCCTGTGGTTCCCTGGATATTCCAAGAAGGCTACAGGTGAAGAATTGCACAAGAGCAGGGCCAACTGATATGTTGTGTGATAGGTGGACAGAGGAAGGAATTAAGGTCAGAAAGGGGCCAAACTTGAGAAGTACTGGCCGAAAGCCTCTCAGCAGAAGAAGACCCTTTTTATTAATTGGCTTAAAGGCTTTTTTATTTCCACTTTTTTTTGGGGGGGGGTTATACCAGCGATGCTCAGGGGTCAATTCTCACTTGGTGCACAGGAATCATTCCTGGCAACTTAAGAGGACTTTTGGAATGCTGAGATCAAAGTTGGGTCAGCTGCATGCAAGACAAACATCCTAGTACTTATCTCTTCAGCACCCTCAAAGATATTTTTTCCAAGTAAAATGTTAAACCAGTTAGATTTTACTTTAAAAGTTTCAATATATAAATTCATTTTCTACTTACGAAGTTTTACTTACGAAGTTTAATGAGTTTTTTAGTGTAAAAATATCATAAATTATAAGAAATAAAATCCTGGACTCATTTATATATCATTCATATGTTTTAAGGTACATAAATTTCCACTCAGTAAATAATTGAATATTCTCTTTTATTTAGGTTTATGGAGGACCTAAAAGATATGTTGGGCTTTGTACCAAACAAATATTACTACTATATGTGGAAATACATTTCTCCTCTAGTGCTGTTAGCACTGCTATTATCTAGTTTTGTGAACATGGTATTAAGTCCCCCTGGGTATAATGCCTGGATTGAAGATAAGGTAAGTAGGTAAAGATACACATTAAATACTACTTCTGAGTACTATTTAAGATACTGCATAAAGATTTAAGATATTGCATAAAGATACACATAAATACATAAATATATAAATAATAAAGTAAAATATGAAAACTTCAGAAGTTTTTATATATATATATATATTACTGTCACTGTCATCCCATTGTTTATCGATTTGCTTGAGTGGGCTCCAGTAATATCTCCATTTGTCCCTGTCATGTGGCTTTTTCAGTGTCAGGGGAATGAGGACCTATATATATATGTGTATATATATATGTATATATAAAGACACCATGATTTAAAAAAATGATCTCAAGAATTATTTGAGACATACAATATTGCAACATCAATCTCACCACTAGCCCTGGGTCCCTGCCATCCCTCAACCTACCACCTTGGCAGGCATATGACAAATTAATTTCATATTGCTTGCTCCAATAATTTTACTTTATTTATAGTATAATTTTCTTTTTACTTATTTTTTACTTTTGTTTTTGGAGGCGGGGTTGGGCCACAATCAGAGATGCTCAGAACCTACTCCTGGCTCTGTGCTCGAGGATCACTCCTGGCAGGGCGCAGGGTGTTGTCATTGAACCTGGGTCAGCCATGTGCAAGGCAGGTAGCCATAATTTTACCTTTAATGAATAATGTCCCATTTATGTGACAATCTTGAGACTTTTGGAGGAGGGAATGTTTCCTAAGGAGTGCTCAGGATTCCCTTGGGCCCCTCCCAGAATTCTTAGCCAGCAGGATCATAGGTCATTCACTATGAGGGTATAGGGTGTGGTGCTGCTTGGTCCTGCAGTGCTCCGGATGACCCAATGATGCTCAGGGAAAATGTGGCCCTGGGAATTGGCCCGAGTCATCCATGCACCTTTACCTCTGTACTAGCTCTCTATTTTCAGGCCTTTGAGATTCATATTCTGTTTGGTCCCAAATATGTGTGGTTTTGAAGCCATGGTGGATTTTTAGATATGTGATTTTGTATAGTATATTTAATTATTTTATTGCTTAAAAACAAATTACCTAGAAAGTTGTATAAAATGGAAACAATATTTTATTTATTTTTTAAAATTTCCTAGGGTTCTGCTGTTGTCCCCACTCCCACCCTATACTCTTTGTTATTTGGTGTAATTCAGAAATTGCAAGACTTAGAAAGTCTTGGAAATTACTTACTAGAATTTCCATGGCATCCCAGCAAGTCACAGGTCTATTCCAGTGCTTACAAACCTAAGATAAATATAATTTGCTTTCATGTACTTGTATAGAATTAATATATATTATATATACATATATATATAGTATATATATATATACACACACACACACATTTGCCTTGCATGCGGCCAACTTGGCCGACCTGAGTTCGATTCCTCTGCCCCTCTCAGAGAGCCCAGCAAGCTACTGAGAGTATCTCACCTGCATGGCAAAGCCTGGCAAGCTACCCATGACGTATTTGATATGCTAAACACAGTAACAACAAGTCTTACAACGGAGACTTTACTGGGCCTGTTTGAGCAACTCAATGAACAACGGGAGGACAGTGCTACAGTGCTACATATGTATAGATAGATAGATAGATAGATAGATAGATAGAGATATAGATATATAGATAGATGTATTTGTTTTATTTAAAACAATTTACTTTTATTTAAACAGGCAGCTGAAGAATTTCTGAACTATCCAGTATGGGGAGTAGCTGTCTGTGTCTCTCTCATAGTGCTGGCAATACTCCCTGTCCCAGTAGTCTTCATCATTCGTCATTGCAACTTGTTACATAGTACTTCTGGTAACTTATCATCTGTGACCTATAAAAGAGGCAGGGTTTTGAAGGAACCTGTCAACTTAGAGGGAGATGATGCTAGCCTCATTCATGGAAAGATACGAAGTGAGACGCCATCTCCAAATTTTGGTAAAAATATTTATAGGAAACAAAGTGGATCACCAACCTTGGATACTGCTCCCAATGGACGATATGGTATAGGGTACCTGATGGCAGATATGCCAGATATGCCCGAGTCGGATTTGTAGCTGGTTGGGGGCATCATTGGGTTTCATTTGATTCAATTATATCAGTGAACATTGGCTCTACTAATTGAAATAATAGGTTTCACTTATCACGAGGTGATCTCAGGTGTTCTATGACTGTGATCTTTAACCCTAACTATATGTAAATACAGCTCGAGTACTCCTTTGGATTCCTTGGTTTACATTTGTGCAGGCAGAAGTACAGGCAGAATTTATAATGACTGAGGTCCATCCAAGCTTGTCAGATATTTGAAAAATACTTTCAATGTTTTTTCAAATATTTCTATCTCTTAAAAAACAAAACCAGGCATTACCTCAGTTTGGAATAATTTTTGATTGTAACAGTGTTGGCAATTCAAAAATGATATACTTAAAACTTTTAAAAGTTTGCCTTCAGGGTAAATTCCCTGTATTACATTTCTGTAAGTTGGTGCCTGTCAGCATATATATTGTGTATATGGGTTATAGTTATCTTGGTAGCATTGATACCTCCTTAAAAAATTAGCTGAAGAGGGGCCTGAGTGATAACACAGCGAATAGGGAGTTTGCCCTGCACGCGGCTGACCCGGGTTCTATTTTCAGCATCCCATATGGCCCCTGAGCACCCCCAGGAGTAATTTCTGAGTGCAGAGCTAGGAGTAACCCCTGAGCCTCACCAGGTGTAACCCAAAAAGCAAAAAAAAAAGAAAAGAAAAGAAAAAAAATTAGCTGAAGAAATGGCAAAGTACTTTCTTATGTACTAGCTGTGTAGAGCAATAGTATTCATAGGAAGGTGCTAATGCTGGGCTGAGGTTAGATTCAGAGGAGACTAGGGATCATGTGTGTGATAACTGTACATATTGTATAAAATAGAGGAGTGAAAATGATTTAAGATTGAGTTACTCAGCACTCTCAAGAATCATGCAGATTCTGCATTTTTCTATGCCGTGTGCCTAAAACTTTACCTGATATTTATTGTGGTTTCAAGATTACTTACAGTATTTTATATAATATACTTGTAATGTATATAAATATATATGTATGTTAGTACTCTGAGTACTGACGTAAAACTTGAAACAGGATGGTATTTTACTTCATATCTTTCTCTTTTGCTTCTGTTTTATGCAAATATAAATCCTTTTTTAAGTGATTGTTAAAATTGTATGTCATTACATTTTAAGGCTAAAAATAAAGAAAGTTAAAAAATAATGTTTGTTTCCTACTTTGCTTTTTTTTTTAAATATCACCTGAACAGGATTATGTTGCATTAAGGCATTTTGTAATGATTAACCATCATTTTCCAAGTAGGATTAATACACTCATAATAGTATTACCACTGTAAAGTAAGAGACAGGGAAAAATAGAGTATTTTTGTGACATGGTGTTCTGAAATAATCTCATAATTCATGAAAAAAAATACTGATAGTCTTCCTGGAAATCACATGTACAGATGCCGGCCTGAGTAAGCATAGCCTTTGAGGAATAAAAAGTTAGGATTGTTTTTTGGTGAAACTTGTGGTACTATTTGAGATCGGGTTTTGTAATTAGCTCCACCAATTATCATTTAGTTAAAGAGCTTTTATTTATAATATTCCTTACACATACATGAGTCCCATTTTCAAAATAATTATGATTTCAGCAGAAAAATCAGGATCGTGGTTTATACACCATATCCTTTCATTTATTTTAGCTAAATCTCCTTGGTCTGCTATAGGCATATATTAAAATATTTTAGCGGTAGGGCATTTGCCTTGGGTGCAGCCAGCCCAGCCGAGCTGGGTTTGATTCCTCCGCCCCTCTCAGAGAGCCCATCAAGCTACCAAGAATATCTCCCCGTGCGCGGCAAAGCCTGGCAAGATACCCGTGACGTATTCAATATGCCAAAGACAGTAACAACAAGTCTCAAAATGGAGACATTGCTGGGCCCGCTCGAGCAGATTGATGAACAACGGAAGGACAGTGATATAAATATTACTTATTTTGGGGGTATGGTGCCGCCAGCAGGTCAGTCTGTATCTGTGAGTGCATCAGCAGCCTGATGTCGCCTTCAGACTTCCAGATACCCCCAAATTGCTGCAGTGCCTTTGGCCGGACCCCAAAAGCTTGGGGCAAAGTTTACCAAGAAAGTAAATTGCCAAAAGTTAGGTATGTGGAAAACACACCCACAGAGCACCTCCAGCTCAGCTATATAATTGGAGGCATGACCTCTCTGGTTCCTGATTGAACTGCTTAATAGCCATGATCCCAGAGACTCAGAAGCAAATCTCGAAACCCAGCGGCTTTTGGCAGAAGTGCATCCAGACCACGCAGTAGGTTACTGTGCTGGGCCAACCCAGGTGGGAATAGGTTTCGTGACTTGGCCTCTTCCCCTTGGTGGCCAGGTGGCTGCCATCCTCCAGAGGCCACTGGATAGTCAGGTTTAGGTCCACAGTGACGAGACATGCAGGGCCTCACAGGATGAGGATGGAGCCGGTCCTGTCCTCCCCACCCCAATGAGACCCCAAGTCATCACCCACAAATGGCCTCTCTGGCTCCTGATCAAGCTGCTTAACGGCCATGATCCCAGAGACTCAGAAACAAATCTCGAAACCCAGTGGCTTTTGGCAGAAATGCATCCGGACCACGCAGTAGGTTACTGTCGCCAGGCCACCCCAGGGGGAAAGGGTGTTGTTCCTCCGCCTGCTTCCCCCTGGTGGCTTGGTGGCCATTATCCTCCAGAGGCCACTGGACAGTCAAGGTTTGGGCCCGCAGTGACAAGACATTTTGGGCCTCACAGGATGGGGGTGGAGTCGGTCCTATCCTCCCCACCCCAACGAAACCATGACTCGCCGCCCACGAACGGCCTCTCTGGCTTCTGATCAAGCTGCTTAATGGCCATGATCCCAGAGACTCAGGAACAGATCTCAAAACCTAGCAGGTTTTTGGCAGGAAATCTCTCTAGATTTAATTGTTAAAATTTGAGCGATAGCACAGCAGTAGGGCGTTTGCCTTGCATGCAGCCAACATGGCCGACCCGAGTTCAGTTCCTCCGCCCCTCTCGGAGAGCCCGGCAAGCTACCGAGAGTATCTCGCCCGCACGGCAGAGCCTGGCAAGCTCCCCGTGATGTATTCGATATGCCAGACACAGTAACAACAAAGTCTCCAATGGAGGCGTTACTGGGCCCGCTCGAGCAAATCGTTGATCAACGGGAGGGCCTTTACCTTTACCTTTACCAAAATTTGCAGCCACTACTGCAACTGCGTGACATCATATATTATTCATGACCAGCAATAGAAAACAAATTGTCTACTGTTGCCTTTTCGGCAGATCTGAGTGTTGAGGTAAAATCTCAAATAATAATGGTGGGAGTGGGGTCGAAATGTTGAATGTGATCAAAGTATAGAGAGAGTGATTTGGAAATTATCTGCCCCACAGGTAGGGGGAGGGTGTGGGATAGGGGTATACTGGGGTTGTTGGGGGTGGAGAATGAGCACTGGTGAAGGTACAGGTGTTTCATTGTATGATTGAGACTTAGACCCGAAATCTTTGTAACTGCTCTCACGGTGATTCAATAAATAAAATTATAAAAAATGAAAAAAATATTACTTATTTTAGCTAATTTTTTAACATTGAAAATTTATATATAATTTTAAAATTTAAATATAGTTCATAGAGAGTCATTTGATGAACAACAGGAGGACAGTGACAGTGACAGTCAAAATGTCAACTTATACAAAACTCAAAAATAATAACAGTTCAGTGTCAGGTAAATTTACTGCCCAAAACTTTTTATATTTGCCTGTTTTCTTTTCTTTAATGTAGTCATCATTACCAGTTTCTTATGTATCCTTCCAGAGATACTCTAGGTATACATATGCATAAATAATAATGCTGTTTTCTCTCTTTGGCTAATGTATCTCAAGTGAGCAATTTATTTTTAACAGTGTTTCATATGAAGGCATGCAAATTTACTCCATTATTTCAAAAGGTAAAAATGTTATTCATTTTTTATTTTTAAAAAATACTTCTTTTATTAAATTATCCAATTTTTAGCGCATGGTTCCTTCCAGCTTTATAGGTTATTGTGGTCATACACTATCTAACAGAACCATCTATCATCGATCCCCCTCTTGCCACTATAGCTCTTAATCTGTGACTTTGATAATGTCTTCAACTAGAGAATACCCTCCACTATGGTTCATACAATGAGACGAACAATACAAGTATCCAGCTTTCCAGATGGAAAATAATCCAATCTGTTTCTAATGCCCTCACTTGGCATATATATTAAGTTGGCCATAGAAGTTTATACAAAACAAATAAGGTCATTCTCATCTATGCTTTTTATTCAACCAGATTTCAGCCATTTGTTATTCATTCATTCATTCATTCATTCATCCTTTCTTTTAACATCTATTCAAGAATATGCTTTATTCTTGTCTATGCACTATGCCAATATGCCATTGCAATTAGGATATTAGCTGTCATTTTCCTGTTTGTTTCTTCTTGCCAGGGAAATTACTTGATCTTTCCTAAGCAGCTTAAAAATTAGTTAATATATAATAGTAAGAAGTATTATTTTCTGTGCTCTAAAATTAAGAGCTATGTTTTGTATTGTTTTCTGGAATACAACCTGGAAACTGAATGTAGCATAGAGTGGAGTATTTTTGATCTTCAGTTGGAAAGTAGATTGCAAAATATGGCCAAAAAAAGGCAATAATGTTCAGATTGAAATAAAAGGAAGAAGTAATAAGAAGTATTCACTATTTGATATTATGACTGTGATTGTGTCCTATTTCTTACTGCAACAATCTTAAGATGCAATTTTATAAAAGTTGGTGTACCACCAGGAAAATATCCCTCCCCCCCCATCCTCCCATCCTTATGATGGGGGGGAGGGATATTTTCCTGGTGGTGGAAAATGGGCACTGGTGGAGGGATGGGTATTTGATCAGGGTATGACCGAGATCCAAGCACAAAAATTTGTAAATCTACAACTGTACCTCATGTCGTTTCACTAATAAAAAAGAAAAAAAAAAAAGATCAAACTGAGATATACACTTATGATTACAAACCATAGAAAACTATAAAACCATGAGTAATTTTAAATTCCATTATTATGTTAATAAAATGGAAAACATCCCTGAAAAAAAAAAAAAGTTGGTGTACATTTTCATGTGCTTGTGTTTATGTGCATTTTTAAGACAAAAAAATTTCTTCATCAAATCTCCAAAATGGTCATGTGATTATAGAAATTTTAACATTAAAACGTAGTGTTCAATAACTATAATTGTACCTTTATGTCAATTGCATTCTTTGGAAAGACAGTTCCAATTTTCTGAATTCAAATATTTTGGAAATAGGCTTCAAATATCACCATTCAAAAAAAACTTTGATATGCATTCTTGGTTAAGAATCAAAGATATGAAGGTGATATAAAGCAGAACCAGTAAAAATATGAATCCTGCTTTTTCTG